TGTCCCCCACACCAAACATCAGGAAGAAAGGGCATAACTGGCACAGAAAATGCCTTGCATGGGCAAGGTCCTGGGTTCCATCCCTTGCACCACCAAAAGGGAAAAAAAAATGTGAGAAAAAAAACCCGGAAAAATACTTCTTCCAATGCTGGTCTGGATTCTTAAGAATTCCACCGAAGCTTTCACAAAAGTACACATAAGCCAAATATTAGAAGAGAATAAGAATCATCTATTGATGTAAAAACAAATAAGTCAGTGTGAAAGCTTTTGATGTGTGGATGCCATCAAACCTCCAGTCATATCACATAAACACTGCAAAATGCAAACACCCAGCAAAGGAAGGAATCACTGTCAGCTTCAGGATTACTTCAATTTCAGAATCCAGTTATTTGGGGGAAAAAAAACTTTAAAAAGTAATCTGTAATCCTTAAACAAACCAAAAGTTTGTGTTTTTGTTTTATTGATTTTTGACATTTTAAGAAAACAAAACCACTTAACCAGGCCCTAGTGGTTCACACTTTTAATCCTAATTTCTCACGAGGCTGAGATCTGAGGACTGAGATTCAAAGCCAGCCCAGGCAGGAAAGTCCATGAGATTCTTATCTCCAATCAGCCACCAGAAAAGAAGTGGCACTGTGGCTTAAAGTGGTAGAGCACTAGTCCTGAGGGAATAAGCCAAAGTACCCAGGACCTGAGTTCAAGCCCCAGAACCAGAATAAATAGGTAAATAAAACAAAGTATGTAGCAGCGTAAGCCAGCTTTTGCCATTGCAAAAAATCAAACATTTTTTAGACTGACTACCAAAAAAATCATTGTGATTATCTCTGCTATCAAATAGATTGTAAAAAGAATAGTCACTCTTCAGCCTACTGCAGTAGTCTTATGTGTTTTTGTATCTTAGAATTTTTTTTGTCCTGTTTTTGTTTTCAAGGTGCTTTTTGGTGACTCTTCAAAAGCAAGTATTCAGTTAAAGAATCTTACTCCACTCAGCTTTTACTAGCTAATTTAATTTGTTTTTCTATATTAGTAACAGTATGCTTGCTGTTCCTTGGACAGGAACAGATGGTTTGTAAACCCTGTAAGAAACACTCAACGTTATATTGAAAACATAGTTTTCCTACATTGGAAGTAGAGGTGCACTGCACCCCTGCTGCCTTTCTTATACTCAGCCCCTCAGTTCAGAAGGCTCTTGGGGAGACAATATAACCCAGTCTCTAAACTGGCCTCATTCCCATGTCCTGTCATTCTTCCCACCTGCTGGGGTCAGAACACTACATAGGCCCTGTGTTAGACTGCTGACAGTCATGCCCAAATGAGCTGTCGAGGGCACTGTCCCTTCTGGGTCCGCATTAAAGGCTTTGCTGGGCATCTCAGGGCAATGCTTTCCCTCTGCTCTTAGCTGCACCATCCTAACATCCACCTTTCAACCCACATGCTACCTTTGGAAAGCCAGATTAAAACAAGTATGTGCGTGCGTGGCTACCTCTTCAAGTTGTTTATTATGTATGCTTTGTTTTTTGATGCCCATCAGTGTCAAGTTGATTTCTTACATAGATTATCTTTAACCATCAAGATAACCAAGAACTCCTTGTACTGAAAGTAATTTGTAGTTATTACGACCAGCCACTCCACAAACAATGGCTTACTGTCCTTACATACTGCCTTAGGCCAGACTCCTGTCACAGTGCATCAGCTGGTGCCAAAGGCTTGCTGAATAAAAGCTTAGCAAGTGAATTAAAGTAGAGAGAAGCCTTATGAGTAGTTCCCTTAGCTGAAGATATGGCAGGCTTAATTCTCTTCCAGAAATCAAAAAGGTATTTCACCAGAACAGTAATTGATATAGGTTATTGACAAATACAGTAATTGACTACATAATATTTAACTCTGTCCTGTTTAACTTCATACTAAGAGACAAATCATCTTTAGAGAAACTAACAGTTTTTTGTTAGTGATTTTACTTTCTATACATTTATTTTTTCCCCCTTCAGTGCTGGGAATTGAATTCCCTGTCTGCTCTGCACTGTGTTGTATGTGTGTTTAATTGGAGATAAGAGTCTTATGAACTTTCCTGCCTGGGCTGGCTTCCAACCATGATCCTTAGATCTCAGCCTCCAGAGTAACTAGGATTATAGCTGCCAATGCCCAGCTGGACTCTTGCACTTTTTAAAAGTGTATTCTTGACTTCATAAGATCCATAGTCTTTTTTTTTTAATTTAAGTAAGTTAAAGTAGCACAAGTTTGAAGTCAGCACTAGATATCTTTCTTTTTTACAATTAAATATTAGTTGCCACTTTTCTCACTGTGTGCCTTTAGCAGTTACTGAGCTAACTGACTGACCAATTCTTTCTCTGAAGTGCTGCCCTGGGAAGAAATTCAATGTTCAGTGTAGCGTCAGGGTGGTCTTCTGGTTTGTCTTTTGAAACAGGCATTTCAAAGATTACATAAGAATCAATATTTATAAGTCAATTTGTGTTTTAAGTATTACATAGAGCCTGTCTCTTTACACATAGTAATGTCACTGAGACTGACAAGCACTGACTTACATGTCTTCCCAGCTAGGCCATCTAGCTGCAGTCACAGCAAGAAGTAAGTTCACCTGGGAAGTAGATTACGCTTAAACATAGAGATTTTACCCCTTTCCATGGAGCATGTCAATAGGAGTTTCTTTCCTTTTTTTTCCTAATGCTAAATTTTAAGGCTTTTTGTAATAATTAGACGTTAGGAAAAGTTAGAAAATATACCATTGATTCATCAAATACAGCCTTAATAAATGCATTATGGATTATAGTAACAAATTTGAATCCATTTTTTTCTTTTGCGTAAAGCAAATGGTTTGCAAACAATTCTAAGGCAGCAAGAGTTTGCTAAACTGAAGCATCTTTCTAATGCCTAAGTAACTATATGATTACTAAACTGTGAGCATGGGGCGGTACCCTTTCATTTCTCTTTACAGAATATTTATGTCAGTTCCTAAAATTTGTTGCATGAGCCAAATAAACATGACTTACATTTTTGTACACATTGGTGCCATAATTAGAGAATTAGGAGGTATACAAAATTAAGAGTTTAGTGCCAATGGCAAACATGGGGATGAATGTTTTCTTTAAAAAAAAAGTCATTAGCTATTAAAGATGGTTTTTCCTGAAAAGAAACTCTAATTGTAATAAAGGGAATCAATGAGCTGAAATGAAGCTACTTTCTAAAGTGACACTGTGACAGTGATCCAGATTTGAATATGATAACATTTTGCCATCAGCTGATGTGTAGATGAAGGACAGCCTCTCTGGAGGGGTTCATACCGTATTCAGGGGTAAATTACAGAATACTGATGAGAATATTTTTCCATTTTGGACAAATCTGTACACTATACCTTTATAGAAAAATGCTTGTAATAGTCACTGTAATATTCAGCTGTGGATAAAAATTTGTGGAAATAAATACTTTTGAATAAATTGGTGTGCCAGATGTAAACAAGATTTAAACAAAATTTAAAACTGCATTTACAACTTGACTGGAAAGTTTTTTAGTGCTTTCTTAGAAGAAAAAAAAAAAAACCATGTTGGGCTATATTTAAACCTGCATGATGATTGCTTAAATCAGGGGTCATTATCTAACAGTCCGAAAGCTGGGGGTAGAAGAGGACTTTACCTTTGAGATCACAAGGCCCATTGAGCAACTACTTTCAATCTACCAAAGGCAGCTTGAGGGTAGGAAAAGACTGATAAGCAAATGAATGAAACAGCTCTAAGGCAGACTAAATCATATGCATATGGTAAAGACATTATTCAGTCAGTGAGAAATTGTTTACAAGATCTGTATAAAGTAACTTATGAAATATAAATATTACCATAGAGAAATAAAATCAAGGGATGGACAGCCATTTTGTTAGTCAGGTTCAAACTTAAGATCAAAACGCTGGTGTTTGTGTGAAAACTGAAGCTCATTCTAAAATTAATGTAGAAGAAGCAAAGGCTTGTGGATAAAGACTTTCCTTGAGAAAGTGGATTGACTGACTGCCTGCCAGGTTTTAAGCCCTCACCATGGAGTGGTGTAATTTGGAATCCCAGCACATGGGAGGCTAAGACAGGAAGACGGACAGTTCAAGACAAGCTAAGGCCTCCTGAGTATGGGGACTACAGGCAGGCATTACCACACTCAGCAAGGCTCATTTTAAAACAATCTACTCCTTCTGAACATCAGAAATTTTACCCAGTTTCCATTGCTGAAACTTCTAAAACCATTACTATTTAAGCTAAAACCATTTGCCATCAACTTTGAGTGTTACAGCAAAGGAGGGGAAACTGTGCTGGCAGTACTCGTCCTCCCCACTCATACACAAATAATATTGAATTCCTATTTTATATTTAAACTGAGTTACTTCCATTAAAGATGAAATGTCAAGATGAAAACCATTTAAAATATCCCAAACCCCATTTGTAGATTAAAAAATAAGTTGGATTTTCTTTTTTCTTTTTTTGTCAGTCATGGGCCTGAACTCTGGGCCTGGGCGCTGTTCCTCAGCTCTTCAGCTCAAGGCTAGCACTCTACCACTTGAGCCACAGCACCACTTCCGGCTTTTTCTGCTTATGTGGTGCTGAGGAATTGAACCCAGGGCTTCACGCATGCAAGGCAGGCGCTCTACCACTGAGCCACCTTCCCAGCCCCGGATTTTCTTTTTTCTTAAGTGAGCATCACCAAAGTATATACTTCTACAGCAGGAGGTCGCAGGCAACTCAGGCATCAGTGTGACCCACGGCCCATTCCCCCCACTAGATCTGAGCCCCTAACCCGGCAGCCTGGCCCTAACCGCGCAGCTCTCCACCTCACTCCTGCTCGCCCGGCCTCAGTCGGTTCGCGCACTCCATCGTCTGGTTCCCAGAACTCAGATCGCACAGATGTCGCGTCATCATCGGCAGGGCTCGCGGTTAGGCGGCAGGGCCCTCACCACACCCCCCTCCGGCCTAGCCTCAACCTCTCTCCCTCACCCCTCCTTTCCCCCGCTCCAAGTCCCCTAGGCCGCACTTCGCCTAGCACTTTCTTCTAATCCTCTCAGGCCCGGGCAAGCAGCGCCGCCCACAAAGGGCCTGATCATATAAGGAAAATACTGTGGGCTCACAGGGGCCTACGTCGGGGACTCGGAAGCGCCCAGCCCCACTACGCTGCCCGCATCCAGCCCCGACTACGCTCTCGACACCCACCCAACTTGCCAAACCCCGACCTGGCGAGCCTAGCAAAAGCCCGGGCCTCTGCCCACTGTGTGCGCAGCCGCAAACCTAGCCGATCGCGGGGCGCTGCCACACACCACGCCCATTTGACTTCCAAGCCACGCCTCACTCCGCGGCCCAGCACTTTCAAATCCTGGCGGAGGTTGAGATGGGCGGGGTCCTGGCGCCGCGGCCTGTTCTCGACCCTGCCCGCCGGCGGGGACTCCGGGGATCCGGGGGGCCCGGCCTGCGGAGGGCAAAGACAGGCGGCGCAGTCAAATAAAATCCTTCCGCCGTACAACGATGTGAGGCTGCCCCAGGCCCAGCCCTGGGAGCCTGCGATCCCTTTAGTTTCCCGGAGAGGGGCCCAGGGGTCGGCCGAGCGAGGTCACCCGGGCGGCGGGGCGTGGGGAGCCCGCGCTAAGTCGGTGAAAGGGCAGGGGCGCGGCCTCGCGGGGTGCCGCCCACCCCGTAAAGGCCGGGTCCCGGAGGGTGCCGCCCGGGTGTTGTGGAGACGAGACCGCGCACCGAGGGACCGAGCTGCGGCAGCGATGGCCCTCCTCCGAGGTGACCGCCGCCCCGCCGCCCTCACCCCTCTCGGGCGCGGCCTCCGCTTCCGGGCCCCGTGGGCAGGCAGGCCCAGGCCGTGGGTGGGCTTTCTCCTGACCCTTCGGCTTTGGGGAGGGGGATGCCGTGGGGATGGGGGACGGGATGGATAATGTGACACCGGCCACAGGTCAGCGACTCTGGTGCCCCATCTAGTGACCGCTGGCCGACCAGAGGAGTTAGCGTCTGACCTTGACCCTCAGCGGGCCGGGGGTGGGCGGGGAGGAGGCCGGTGCCGCCCGCGCCAGGCCTCGATTGCTCCCGGTAGCCCGGCGTCCTGGTCTCGGTCGCACCTTGGGTGGGGGCGGTGATGCACCCTAAGGGTCTCCAGGGAATTCGCGCCCTGTGACCTGACCCCCTAAACGGTTTGGTGGTGGTTTGCTCCAAGACCCTGTTCGGCTCCCTTTTGCATTCCTTTGAAGTTCGGGCGACTCCAGGAAAGTGCAGACAACATGTAAAGTTCAGGGTTTTTCAGTTGTTTTAAGTAATTATGTAAACTCCCTTTTCATACTAAGCGATCACAGTCGATGGAATTTTATCTTAAAGACCTGTATGTCTGTTGAACATTCCACAGAACACACAGGAAGGCCTTGAGACAGGAAAAGACTTGACAGAGTCTGAGAAGCGATGGCTTGGGTGGTCCAAGTGGGCGCTGTACATTCAGTGGGAGGCAAATACAGGGATTTAATCTCTTCTCGGTCCCTATTTCCTCTCTCATCATAAAGAGACCACTGAAGATTGCAGCGGTCCAAACCAAAGCAAAGGATGGCCTTGACCATACAAGGGAAAAGAAGGGTAAAAGGAGAGGGGAACTTTTAGCAGAGATTGGCAGATGGGCCTGCGGGAACGAACGGTGGTACAAGATTGGCTGTGGCAGTGAAAGAAATAGCAAGAATGACCTGGAGGAACTGGTTCAGGATGATACCACTTACAGAGTGAGGAAAGGGGTGGGCGATAGATTCGGAAAGGAAGATTGTTTTGATGCCTGTGGAGTGACCAAGTGGAGATGTCAGGCAGACACTAAGTTATCCCCCCATTCTAGAAGTCAGAAGAACCCAGGGAAGGAATCAAGTGGAAAGTAAATATTCTGGGACAAAGTACAGTTGTCCTATATTCGCCAGTGCCATTCTCAGCTCAGATGACCACATTTACTTAATAAAGCAGATGTTGGTTTTTCCTTTTAGACAAGTTCAGAAAACCTACTTAATTTGGAAGCTATCTTGGAACGAACTGTCTTTTAAAAAGGAAATCATATTTTTACTGATTTTTTTATTTTAATTTTGTTAGTGGTAGGTACCGTTATAGACTCCTTTGAAATTTGTATGAAAACAAAAAACCCATCTGGTTATAGTACAGGTAGCTAGTGGCTGTGTCTAGAAACCAACTTTGAGTTTCAGTGGTGATTGTTATGGACTAATCTGAAGGCAACAAAGTGCTTCGGTCTGTTGCCAGCCTGGTGTTTACAGGCCTGGTGTGAGAAAGAAGAGCTTGTGACTTGTTATTGTAAAGTAAAGGACATACTTAAATGGGAGCATAATTAACCATGGTAAGGACTGTTTTCAGGTATTATTGAAGAAGAGCCAATTGCTATATAAAAATTGTCTTAATATCCGTCCCAGTGCTTGGTAGGAGATTTTTCACCCAAAAATATTAATTCTGCTGTTTATTAGCTTATTTGGGGGAGGTTATATATCCCCTTATAGCAGGTAGGCTGCTAAATTACTCCTGATATACTAGATGATCAGTAGTTTCCTTAATTTGGTGTTGTCATCTACAGTTGCTCTAAGACAATAGGTATTTACAATAGTAGATATTTACCTTGTAGTAAATTGACCAAATAGTAGTCAGAGATCGTGTTTTTCCTCCAGTGGTTTTTTGTTTTGTTGTTCAAATCAGCACACCTCAACAAGACCTTTCACTGCTCTAGAAGATGGTCTTTTCACTGTCTTACAGTTTTGGAAATCTTTAGCATTTGAATTTTCAGTGCCCTTTAAACAAGATTATACCTGGACACTGGTGGCTCAAGACTGTAATCCTCACTATTCAGAATGCTGAGATCTGAGAATCTCAGTTTGAAGCCAGATAGGGCAGACAAATCTATGAGACTTATCTCCAGTAAACCAGCAAAAGCCAGAAGTGGAGGTTTGACTCAAGTGGTAGCATGCCAAACTTGAGCAAAAAAGCCAAGTGAGAACATTGAGACACTGGGTTCAAGCCCTAGGATCTGCCCACTTGAACCACATCACCACTTCTGGCTTTTTGGTGGTTTATTGAAGATAAGCCTCATGGACTTTACTGCCCAGGCTGGCTTCAATCCTTAGGACACCCAGCTTAGATTCACTTTTTAAATGTAAATGTCTACTTGTTCCAGCATCCTTTTTCCATTGGAGTACCTTTGCTTCTTTTGGGGGCCATGTAGTTCTTCCCATACTTTATTAGGTTTTGGCTACAGTCTTTTCTTCTTCATATTGAATAATGTTTATCAATCTTAAAAAATCACTGAACGTTGTTCATTTCATTCCTACTCTGCTATTAAGCTCATCAAGAGAATTTTTACATTTTAGTCTTAGAATTGGGTTTTTAGTTTATTCTTATTATTATTGTTTCTGTTCCTTTTTTGAGATACACTATCTTTATCCTTTCTACCCTGAACACAGTTAATAATAGCTATTTTAAATCTTTGCAATTACAGATCTAGATATTCTCAAGGTGGATTATCACTTTTAAAGAATTATATATTGGGTTGTTTTTTTTTAGGTTAACTTTTGATTGTACTATTTCTGGTTAGCTTTTTTTTTTTTTCCAGGCAGCTAGTTTAGCTGAACTTAAGCTACATGTCTCTGTCTATAGTAGGCAGCAGATCCAAAAGAAGGTCCATATTTTTAATCACAATCCCAAGATGTATGTGGTCTGACCAACACATGCATGATTAAGGGTCAGCTAAATATTTGGGCAGTCTCTATATGAAATTTGGATCTCTTTTCTGTGCTATTCCTCTTTCCTAGATTCTCTACCACTTTCCAGTGATTGAGGTTGCCATGAACTTTGTTCTCAGATTCTTCAAGCCAGCATGAGTGTGAGTTTCTGAATTCTAGACATTCTGTGTGGCATGGACTGCTGGCTTTCAGGTTCCGTGCTATAAATAAACTGACACTCATTCTGTACTGTTCCCTTCATCCAAAGATCAGCTTTTTCCATGTCTGCCTGCCTGCTTAGTTCATTTCCAAGACCTCCAGGTCGTTGTTCATTTAATATTGTCCTGAGTTCTTCCTTGTCTTGAGAGATTTGATCATACAGCAGCATACGAGGCCATGACCAGAATCAGAACTAATAGAACTAGGAGGAAAGCATGCAAAGGGTAAAGAAAAATGAAGCAAAGATAACACTGACATAAAAGTCAGCAGGCACCAAAGAACTGAGGAGGTAGATCAATGGTGAAACCTTTGCCTACCTCGCAGCCCTGACATCCACTGCCCCCACCAAAAATGTTTTAAAGGCAGAGACTATTCACTGAGGGTTAGAGAACACATGGGAAGATTCAGAAACATACTAATGCAGAATAACCCAGCTACCAGAAAAATATACTTCCAATGTGAGAAGCCTTTTGTACATGGCCTTTTGTAAGTGTTTGAATGTTATATCTATAAAGATAAATTGTGTAGATGTGTCTTAATTATACTTTCATGAGTTGTTCCTCACATTCCTTTTGCTTGTAAATTTCTCAAAATAAGGATAAAAAGTGACAGTTTTGTTGTTGTTATTGTCTTTGTCAGTAGTGGGGCTAAAACTTAGGACCGCATGCTCTTGCTTGAGGTTTTCACTTCAGACTGGCACTCTACCACGTGAGCCACAGCTCCACTTCCAGCTTTTTACTGTTAGTTGGAGATAAGCGTCATACAGACTTTTCTGCCCAAGCTGGCTTCAAACTAATATTCTCAAATGTCAGCCTTCTGAATAGCTAGGATTACAGGTCTGAGCCTCTGGTGCCTAGCTTTATGTTTAAGTTTTGCACTGCACAACTAGTGATTACCATTCATATTAGAGTCATCATGGATTTTTATACTCATAAGTTTTTTGGCCAATGACAGTAGGTTCCCTAGAATGATTTTTATTTATGTGTACAAGGAGACTGATTTGATTTATAGTATTGCTGCAGATTTATAATTTTGGTTTGTATTAATAGATGTATATTCTCTGTCAGTTAAAATCAAGAATGTGGGCTGGGAAGGTGGCTCAGTGGTAGAGCACTTGTCTTGCATGCCTGAGGCCCTGGGTTCAACTCCTCAGCACCACATAAGCAAAAAGAAAAAAGCCGGAAGTGGCACTGTGGCTCAAGGGGTAGAATGCTAGCCTTGAGCTGTAGAGTTGAGGGACAGTGCCCAGGCCCAGAGTTCAGGTCCCACGACCGGACCTCCCCCCAAAAAAAGATAAAATCAAGAATGTGTTGTCAGGTTCTAAGTGACATATTTTAAGTATGTTGACAAACTAGAGTATCTTTAGAGAAAGGCAGTGAGACTTAATGTCAGCTAAAAAAGTATTTAAAGCATGCTTTCTGTTGTACTGGGAGAAGACTCATTAGATCTGGAGACTATTTGAGGTTAGCAAACTCCAGATGGATTTCACATGTAAAAGGTGATCTATTGTCATTCTATTCCAAGTATAAAAGATAATAGTGAAATATAATAGTTGAAGGGTGTGTGTGTGTGTGTGTGTGTGTGTGTGTGTGTGTGTGCACGTATACATGTGCACATGCCAGTATTAAGGTTTGAACTCAGGACTTCACACTCTTGCTCAGTTTTTTTTGCTCAAGGCAGGTGCTCTGCCACTTGAGCTATACTTCTACTTCTAGCTTTTTGCTGACTAATTGGAGATAAGAGTCTCTTGGACTTGTCTGCTCAGACTGGTTTCAAATGAGATTCTCAGAGCTCAGCCTCCTGAGTAGCTGGATTACAGGTATGAGCTGTGGGTGCCCAGCACCTTGACACAATCTTAAGGGACCATCTATTTTGGAGTTTCTTTGATTCTGATAGTAGCCAATATATTCCAGCATCCCGAAGGAGAAGTAGTTCAATTGTCAACATTGTGAAGCTGTGGAAGACAAGAATGGTGTCCGACTGGAATAAATTTCTTTGTAGCATGCAGTGTAGTTGTTGGGACCTGTATGGAGGTGTTGATCACACTGATAACTTTAAGCCTCTGCTTCCATGAGTGTAACTCATACCAGGTGTTACTGCATGTCAAAGATTTTCTGCTAGGAAACTGGAAATTGTGCTTCAAGGTTTTACCATGATATTACTGTAATCACTTACAGATTTTTCCCTCCATTAGGTGTGTTTGTTGTTGCTGCTAAACGCACACCATTTGGGGCTTATGGCGGACTTCTGAAAGACTTCACTGCTACTGACTTAACTGAATTTGCTGCCAAGGCTGCTCTGGCTGCTGGCAAAGTCCCACCTGAAACCATCGACAGTGTCATTGTGGGCAATGTCATGCAGGTTAGTGTGGCAGGGGGACTGACCATTTCTATTGCTTTCTTTGATCATTTTTGCAAAGACAAATTTCACGTGTCACGAAGACCAAAATAGTAGAAGCTACAAATAGTTGAAAGGTATAAATGGAGGAATCCTCTGTCTCTAGAAGCAGTGGCATACATAATTCAGAGTAGTATATATTCTGGAAACCATCAGGCTTGAGATGCAATTCAGTGCTTCTTAAAAGGCAAATTGATTTCCTGAATTTATGGGAGGTGAATTGGTTTTCTCGGTATGCCTGCTAAGGATGTATATTTATGGGTCAGCTTCCCAACACTGTGACAAAACACCTGAGATAAGCAACATTAAGTGAGGAAAGGGCTTTTTGTTGTTGGTGGTGGTCGTGGGGTCTGAACTCTGGGCCTGGGCGCTGTCCCTGAGCTCTTCAGCTCAAGGCTATCTCTCTACCACTTGAGCCACAGCGCCACTTCCAGCTTTTTCTGCATATATAGTGCTGAGGAATTGAACCCTGGGCCTCATGCATGCAAGGCAAGCACTCTACCACTGAGCCACCTTCCCAGCTCCAGGAAAGGGCTTTTGTGACTCATGGTTTCAGAGGTTTTAGTTTGTGGTTACTTGGCTGTGTGGTGTTGGCCTGTGGCCACTCAGCTCATCCTCTCAGGAATGCATGGTCACCTCATGGCAGCCAGAAAGCCAAGAGAAAGAGATGAAGGGCCAAGATGCCCAGTATACTTCTGAGTGCACACTCTCAGTGACACAACTTCCTCCTACTATCCCCACCTTCTGGACCAGGGACCAAGCTTTAACAAGGACATTGGAGACCCATACTACAACAGAAGGGTAGCAGATCTGAGTCATGCAATGTCTTATATGTGACAGAAGCTAGATCAGAATTAGTTGCAAGAAATAAGAAGCTCTCTTAACCTTCTATTTTCATATGTGTGGGGCACAAATAGATCATCCATATGGGGATTATCAGAAGATAGTTATTAAATGCCTAAATATTTTAACTGTCATGGGAGAAGATAAAAGAGCCAAAGTAACCCCTGTTTTCACTGTATTTGATGTTGGTATAATTTGTGAAGGGGAAGGAGAAAAAAACCAAATTGTTTAAATAGGGATACAGGTGGACCCATTGCAACAATGAGATGTACAAGTCATTATGTTGAAAAACGAACTTTACAACTTTGGCAGGGGGTTGGGGGGAGGACGGAAAGGGATGGGAAGGGTAAACAAAGGAGGAGGCAACAATGCTTGATAAGAAATGTACTCATTACCTTGCCCATGTAATTGTAACCCCTCTGTACGGTATTTTCACAATTAAAAAAAAAAAGCCAAAGTAGTCCAAAAAAGAAGGTTATAACCTAATGAGGAATTGAGAAATGTGAAAATATGCACATATACCTATATTACATAAAATATCATCACCTTTTAAACATACTGAAATTAAGATCTTTAAAAATAATATTAAGCTAAGATTTTTTTTTTTTTGGGTCCGGTCATGGGGCCTAAACTCTGGGCCTGGGCGCTGTCCCTCAGCTCTTCAGCTCAAGGCTAGCGCTCTACCACTTGAGCCACAGCGCCACTTCCAGCTTTTTTCTTTTCTCTTATGTGGTGCTGAAGAATCGAACCCAGGGCCTCAGGCATGCAAGGCAAGCGCTCTACCACTGAGCCACCTTCCCAGCTCCTAAGCTAAGATTTTTAAAAATAATATTACTTTTTTTTTTTTACGACCCTGTATTAGACTTTTCATTCCTGTGACAAACACCTGAGTGAAAACATCTTAAAGGAAGAAGGTGGTTCGTGGTAGGTTGGCGCCACTGCTTTCAAATCTATGACTAAGACAGAACCTCAGGGCTCAAGGGTGGACAAAGCTGAAAGAGATGAAGGAACTGAGGGTCAGCTCTTCCCTTCAAAGGTGTCACCCTCTGCCCTCCTCCTTCCAGCCAAGCCCAGCCTCCTAAGGCTTCCATCAATTCCCCCAGATAATGCCATACCACCACTTGGGGTAAAGCATTCAGCCAATGGGAGATATTTTATACTCAGCCCATAACAGATGCCAATGATGCGATCACCACAAAAGGCAAGGGGAAAACCATGGGTACGGAAAAGCCGTGGCCTTGACTTTGGTTTTGTTCCGTTGATCCTACTGTGGTGTGACTTTATATCTAGAAAAAGCAGAAACTTGTTTTCTGTTTTATTTATTGAAATTATAACATTTTCATAAAGAACTATTCATGTTAATTCATCTCCCTTTTTTTGTGGGGAGGGAAGTATTTTACCTCTGACCTAAGAAGGCATTTTAACAGGTCAAATTGAAATAGTATACATTTGGTTTTTGTTTTTCCTTGAATTTATTTTAAAGTAAATTTACTCTTTCTAAAACCCTTATATTTTTCTTTTGCATAGACTCTCTCAACCTTTATGATAAAATCACTATAAATGGTACCAGTTTCCTTATGTTTGTACTTTTTTTTCTTTAGATAGGATCTTCCTGTGTAATCCAGGCTGGCTTCAAACTGGAGATTCTCTTGCCTCAGCCTCTTGAGTAGGATGAAAGGTGTTCATCACCACACCCAGCTTCAGGCAGTCTTTACTGTATTAAGTTTCCTGACAAAGGGGTAAAGTACTTAATGATAAATTTTTGAGATAAAGGAGAACAGAATAGATACTAGATAACATTTGACAAATACAAGAAAGCTGTTTTTCTAGTCAAGTGTTAGATATCAGTTAGAATGAATGAATTTTACTGTTTCCTTAGGAAACAATGAAATTCAAGATGAATTCTCTTTATTTCTTTTACTGCCAAATTTCCCTGGATAGGATTTCTGGTTTTAGATCAAAGAAGAAGAAATGGCTTAACTTTGTTTTATAGCAATATCCAGGGTTGGAGATATAGCCCAAGTAGTAGAGTGCCAGTATAGAGTACCCATTAGTGCCAAACATTCACAGGGGCTGGAGATATAGTTCAGTAGTACAACAACACTTGCTTTAGCATGCATAAGGCGCTGGGCTTCACATCTAGCAAGACTGATTGACTGACTGATTGATAGGTAGGTAGAGAGAGAAGTGGGGGAGGAAGAAAAAGAAGGAAGGAAGGAGAGGGAAGGAAGAAAGGAAGGAAGGAAGGGAAAGGATAGTTGAGAGCTGGGTATAGTATCACATACCTATGATCCCAGACAGGAGGATAGTAAGTTGGAGCTACAAAGTGAAACTGTGTCTCAAAATAAAGGAAACAGCCGGGTGTCGGAGGCTCACGCCTCTAATCCTAGCTACTCAGGAGGCTGAGATCTGAGGATCACAGTTCAAAGCCAGCCCAGGCAGGAAAGTCCGTGAGACTCCTATCTCCAATATACTACTAGAAAGCCAGAAGTGGTGCTGTAGCTCACGTGGTAGAGCACTGGGCTTGAGCTGAAGAGCTCAGGGACAGCGCCCAAGCCCAGAGTTCAAGCCCCACGACCAACCAAAAACAAAAATAATAAACAAAAAAAAAATTAAAGGAAACACATGAACAATAACAAAAACCTAACAATGGTTCTAGAGCATGATAAATATCTTTAATGCCACTGAACTGTACACTTAAGAATGTCCAATTCACATTAAGATGATAAAATTTTTGTTATATGTATCTTACCGCAAAAAGAGGTGGAAAAACACTTGACCAAATTAGTTTTCTATAAAGCATGTTGTACCTGCATGCATTATGTCCTCCCTTACAGGTGTATAATTTATCATTTTTTGGTAGATTCACATTTCCATGTCTTTGCCCTGTTCACATGCCTGGATTTATAAAAGAAATGCCTTTTCTTGTCCTTCTATCTGAGACAGAGCTCTTCGGATGCCGCATACTTGGCAAGACACGTTGGTTTGCGAGTGGGAGTCCCAACAGAGGTCTCTGCCCTGACTCTCAACAGGCTCTGTGGCTCTGGGTTCCAGTCCGTTGTGAGTGGGTGTCAGGTATGGGCAGCATTTTATTAAATTCTCTGAATGTATATTAATGGTTACTGGAAGCAATGTTCCTTATCATTATAGCTTCTTTATTTTATAGTGCCCAATTTGAGGTCAATTTGACATTTATTGGAAAATATTTACAGCAAGAAAATGGTTCCTTAAAAAAATCATTAGCTGGGCTGGGAAGGTGGCTTAGTGGTAGAGTGCTTGCCTTGCATGCATGAGGCCCTGGGTTCGATTCCTCAGCACCACATAAACAGAAAAAGCCGGAAGTGGCGCTGTGGCTCAAGTGGTAAAGCGCTAACCTTGAGCTGAAGAGCTGAGGGTCAGCACCCAGGCCCAGAGTTCAGGCCTCACGACCGGACCAAAAAAAAAAAAATCATTAGCTTTCCCTAGTACCAGCATAAATAAATATTCACAGCAAGAAAATAGCTTCTTAAAAACATTAGCTGTCTCCAGTACCAGCATAAATAAATATACATACATACATACAAACATTCATACATACTTAGTTTTTAGGGCGAGGGTATTACTCAGTGGTAGATTGCATGCCTAGCATGTGAGACACCCCGGATTTGATCCCCAGCACTTCAAAAACAAAATCACAGGATTTGATATGAAGAATAGATAAGTGGACTTTCAAGTAGAATCAGCCTGTCACAAAGGACACGCACTGTGCAGTGTCACTTGTATGTGGTACCAGAGTGGGTGGTGGTTTCTGGGGACTCATGGGAGGGAGGGTTTGGTGTCTAATGGAGATGGAGTTTCCATTTTGAAAATGAAGAATTCTGGAGTGAATGGTACTAATGATGGCACTATAATGCCTGTATTTAATGCAATGAACTGAGCACTTAAAATAGTTACAATGGTAAGGTTTATGTTATGTGAGTTTTATCAGTGTTTTTTGTTTGTTTAAGCTAGTGATGACTAATACCTTTCTGTTTGTTTGGTTGGTTTTTTGTTTTGTCTTCTGTGTAGTAGGCCTAGGTACTGTCCTTGAGCTTTTGGGCTCAAGGCTAGCAATCTACCACTTGAGCCACTGTTCCATTTTGGGCTTTTTGTTAGTTAATTGGGGATGAGTCTCATGGATTTTCCTGCCCAGGCTGGCTTTGAAGCTCAATCCTCAGATCTCAGATCCTCCTGAGTAGCTATGATTACAGGCCTGGCTGACTATATCATCTTTGTGCCAGTACTGAGGATTGAACTCAGGTCTTGAACACTGTTTGTTAGCTTTTTTTGTTCAAGGCTTGTATTCTACACTTGGGCTATAGTTCCACTTCCAGCTTTTTGCTGGTAATTGTACTAGGTTTACATTCAATGTCCCATTTAACCTCCACAACCAATTTGTGAAGCAAGAACATTATTACTATTGGTAATTTTTTTCCGTCATTTGTGGAGCTTGAACTCAGCCTGTTCCCCAAGCTCTTTATTAGCATAAATAATTGTACAGCAGGACTTCATGTGATCTTGATCACATTCATATAATGAACTTCGATCAAATTCACCAACCTATATTACTCTTTTTTATCCACGCCACTCCTTTTAAACAATTTTTGGTGGGTTTCATTAATCAGTAGATAAATAGATGATAGATAGAGAGAGAGAGAGAGAGAGAGATAATGTATTTCTATAATGTATTCTGTAATTTCTGTAATTCACTTCCCTATCACCCTCTTCTTTCCCCTTCCCCACTGTTAGTTTCTACTGCGAACAGTGCCCTTTTACAATCATATTACTTTATTTGGATCTAGAGTTCATATGTGAGCAAAGTTGTGCGCTGTTTGTCTTTCTGATCTTGGCTTATTTTGCACAACATGATGAAATGGATTCCCTTTTATGAACCTCTGAGATTGGCCTAATTCTGACAAATCTCTGCTCTCCTCCAGGCTTCTCCATTAGCAGGTTAATTCTTTGTTGCCTTTTCAGCAGGTTTGTCTGTGACCCCTTTATGTCAGATCATATTCTGTGCTGATTTTCAAGATTAAGTTAAGAATGATTGTGCCTAGCCACAATGTAGGTAAGGTGTGTTATTCAGACAAATGATTGACATTTTTTCTAGTTTCCTCCATGCCTTAGGAATGAATACACTACCACTGTAGTGTATTCTCCAACTATTTATAAGTATTTCATTTTGTGACTGTAAGCTAGAATATAGTATCTGTTGAAATTACTATTATTTTATAAAGTCTTTATATTTTTAAATACATACTTTGAGTAAAATAGAAAGGCTTTTTGTTGTTATTATCTGTTTGCTTGTGAACAGGAGATTTGTGTTAAAGATGCAGAAGTTGTCTTATGCGGAGGAACGGAGAGCATGAGCCAATCACCCTACTGCGTGCGAAACGTGCGTTTTGGAACCAAGTTGGGACTAGATCTCAAGGTTGGAACCATTCAAATTGTTTGAATTATTTCATATGCTCTGATAGGGGTCATTTTAATAACTTATTAGAGGGGAGAAAACTGACTTTAAGACCAGTTTTTTAAATGGAATATTGGCAAAGTATGAATGATCTGAAATGTTCAAATGATTTCAAAACCCTACTTTGAGTGTTAGTATTGACCCTTGAACCCACATAGAATTTGTTATTGTTGTTGTTTTTTGGCTGGTTGTGGAGCTTGAACTCTGGGCCTGGGTGCTGTCCCTCAGCTCTTCAGCTCAAGGCAACAGTACGCTACCACTTGAACCACAGCATCACTTCCTAGAATTTGATTTTTAACTTGTGTAAGCAATCATAGGTGTAGGAGAAGTAGAAAAAAGACAGAAGGAGCCAAAAAGGAAAGGCAGAGTTTCTAATAAATACTTAATAATCTGAGTTATTAAGTCATGACTTTTACAAGGTATATTTCTAAGGCAATCTCCATTAAGTGGATTTCTTCTTTGTCACAGAAAATATTGCTTGGAATACAGATTATATGTCCCAAATCAGTTGAATGAAAAGGAATCCTTTCATCTTTAGTACTATAACAGAAAAAAATCATTGTTCTGATAAGGAATAATATTGATAATTTTAAAATTAATTTAATTTTTTAAAAAAAGAACAGTTGGCTGGGCATTGATGGCTCACACCTAAAAAAAATGCTAACATGTATAAACCACTGTTAGCCCTTTCTCTGAAGGACAGTAAACTATTATTCAGCTGGCCCTCTACCACTTGATCCAGGCCTGTAGTCTGGATTTTGCTGATTAATTGGAAATGGCATCTCTTAGATTTTTCTGCCCATGTTGGCTTTAAACCACAATCCTTCAGGATTGTCTTTGCCTCCCGTGTAGCTAGGACTATAGGCATGAGCAACTGATACCCCGTTTATATAAAAGTCTTAATTTTGCTTTTTGTTGGATTTGTTACTTACATTCAAAGAAATTGTGGGAATTGGAGGAGGATGTTGAGAGGGAAAAACTGAGAAAATGAGAGAAGGGGTGACACTGTTCAAAAAGAAATGTCCTCCTTACTGACTTACATAACTAACTTCTCTGTACAACACCTTTACAGTAACAATTTTAAAAAGAAATGATATTCCTCCCCACAGATGATGCTCTAACAATTAACAATTCCCTTTATGAATGTCTTTTTTGCAGCTAGAAGACACTTTGTGGGCAGGACTGACAGACCAGCATATTAAGCTCCCCATGGGACTCACAGCAGAGAACCTTGCTGCACAACATAAAATCAGCAGAGAAGACTGTGACAGATACGCCCTGCAGTCACAGCAGAGATGGAAGGCTGGTCTGTGAGACTGGGTAACACCAGTATCTATAGAAAAAAGTGTCTGTAGGAAACTTTTTTTTTTTTATTGCCAATACTGGGGCTTGAACTCAGGGCCTGGCGCTGTCCTTGAGCTTCTTTTGCTCAATGCTAGCACTCTACCACTGAGCCACAGCATCACTTCTGACTTTTTTTGCTTATGTGGTACTAAGGAATCAAATCCAGGGCTTCATGTATGCTAGGCAAGCACTCTACTACTAGGCCACATTCCCAGCCTGGTAGGAAAACATTTATCCTTTAAGTTCATACAATAGCTGGGTGCCAGTGGCTCACACCCATAATCCTAACTACTGGGAGGCTGAGATCTAAGGATTGTGATTTGAAGCCATCTAGTACATGAAAGTCCATGAGACTCTTATCTCCAATTAGCCACCAAAAAGTAGATCTATGGCTTAGGGATAGCACCCAAACCCTGAGTACAAGCCCTAGGACTGGCACACAAAAAAAATATGTTCTATGCAAAAGAAAACTCTTCCCCTATGCATATTAAATCATAAAGTAGTGAAGATGAAGGCTCTCCTTGCATCTCACAGGGGAAGGGCATGGGGCTGGTGCCAGCAGCTACTCTGTACCTTTTAGATTTCCCCATTCCAGTAGAGCAGTCTTGTCCAGAGGGCAGATCTTGCCAGTTGTTTTTCTAGTTCTGCTGTATACAAGTTTTCTAACCTCAGCAAGTTTTAGTCACTGAGCATCTGCAAAATAGAGATAACCGTAATTGCCCTTCCTAGTTATGTAAAATTAGAGTTGTCACACCAAGTAAGGGAAATATTTTTCCTCTGGAAAGTGATAGTAAAACTAAGGTGGTATTATTCTTGATTTATCTTGTTGCTAAAATGATAGATTATTAGAGAGACAAAGTAGATATGTTTTATAGGCAATTGTATCGGTGAGAGATCAAATAATTCCTTCAGGTTTTCTATCACTATTAAATTTTAGTCGTCAATTACTAGTGGTATAGACTACTTGGTATTGGTGTAAATTAAATTGTCCTGACATTTCCATACATATGTATAATGTATTTGGCTTATATTCACCCTAACTTGGTAACTTTTTTGGTAACTTCTTATCTCACCATTACCTTCAGTTAGCCACCAAAAAGTCAGAAGTAGAGTTGGGACTCAATTGGTAGAGTACTAGCCTTGAGCAAAAAGCTATGAGAGAGCACTCTGGCCTTGCCCAGTACTTTGGTGCCATTGTAAGCTGTAGCTAACCACTACCACAGTCTCTGAAGAAAAGACATGATACAAAGTCATCTGCATAGACACAGACATTGTGTTAAGTTCTCCAGTGGGGAAGCAAGTTGTGTAAATATTAAAGGCTTGTGATAAAGTGCTCTGTGAGCCAAGGGTAGACCAACTATGACATTGAAGGATACTTGCTTTCTCTTTGTATTTCTTCTTTTTTGGTTTTCCTTCTTTGAGAGTTTTTCTACTATTTCAGCAAACGATGCTGGCTACTTTAATGAGGAAATGGCACCAATTGAAGTGAAGACCCGGAAGGGAAAACAAACAATGCAAATGGATGAGCACCCCCGGCCCCAGACAACCCTGGAGCAGTTACAGAAACTTCCTAACGTTTTCAAGAAGGAAGGAACGGTCACAGCAGGGAATGCATCGGTTGGTGTCACAGCAGATCAGGCATTTCCTGATGTATTTTTTCCAAATGATGACATTGTGTTTAAATACTTGCATGCTGATCTTTAGTTATATAGTTATTTAATCTAGTAATTTGGGTTTTATTTGCCCGACACAAAATAATCTACTCTAGGCCTTAACATTCTTCTGATTCCTTAATCTCAGCATTTTTCATTTTCATACTTTTTTCTTTCTCATGAATATAGTCCATCGGATTTCTTTTCACATCCACCCACATCTGGCTATATGCTTTTTCTTGGCTTTCTTTTCTATTATCCCTTAGTGAGGTTTTATTTTGTGTCTAGGAGAATCCTTACATTCTCCAGAAAAGAACCACACTTCTGTCAGTTGGTGTTCCCTTCTGCCATTGCTTCTTTCATACCACCCTCTTCCTGGTTCTGCTCCATTAGCAATCCTGAGCCATTAGTGCAAGCCTTAAATAACTGTGTTCTTCTGCCTGTTTTTAAGGGAGTATCAGACGGTGCTGGAGCTATCATCATAGCTAGCGAAGATGCTGTTAAAAAACACAACTTTACACCACTGGCAAGAGTTGTGAGCTACTTTGTGTCTGGCTGTGATCCTACTATCATGGGTATTGGTAAGTTCCTAGCAAAGCAAACTGGTTGGGCTACTTTTCTGGAAATAAGCCTTTTTAGTATTTAGAGTCTGATTCAAATCAAAGCCACTCACTTATAGAGATTGTCACTTACATAATCATCTTGATAATGAACTATTCTAGATACAGTAGGGAACCCAAGGCCATGCAAACTCCCTGTGAGCAGTTTGTCTTTTTGAGGTTATTTAAATAGATTAGTCTGTTTGAAGTATTTAAAATTAACACATGGCTGGGTACTGATAGCTCATGCCTACTATAATCCTAACTATACAGGAAGGTGAGATCTGAGGATCATGGTTCAAAGCCAGCCATGAAGTTGCTAACTCCATTAACCACCAAAAATTCAAAAGTGGAGCTATAGCTCAAAGTGGTAAGATGCTAGCTTTGAGTGAAAATCTATCGGAAAATTCCCTGGCCCTGAGTTCAAGTCAAGTATTTGGACAAAAAAAAAAAAAAAAAAAGAGGAAAACAATAAAGTAATAAGAGAATTACATGGCTCTGTTTGGGATATAGGAACTGTAAGATAGGAGAAAGACTTGGATGAAGTAGAGAAAATGCTTGGAGCAGCTGGCACAGCACTCTGCCAGGCATTCTGCATTGTCAGGAATGGCTATCACTCAGTCATAATATTCTTCTGGCTAAGCCAAGGTTTATTAGCAAAAAGGCCAATTACAAAGTTATCTAGATGATAGTCTTGGCCTGCTAAATTTGAATTAGAAGTGAGACTGAGATCTCAGGATTGTGGTTCAAAGCCAGCCCAGGCAGGAAAATCCATGAGACTTTTATCTCCAGCCAATCACCAAGCTGGAAGTGGGGCTGTGTGGCTCAAGTGGTAGAGAGCTAGACTCAAGCAAAGAAGGCTCAGAGACAGTGTCCAGACTCTGAGTTAACCCTAGGGCCAGCGAGAGAGAAAGACAGAGACAAAGACAAAGACAGAGAGTGGGGAAGGTGGGAGGGAGAGGAGGAGGAGGGAAAAGACATGGCACAGAGATTTTTTTGCTGCCTGCATGGCTATGAACAGGTGATACAACTGTTAATAGCTTTTGTTTTGTTTTCATTGGGCAATAGGAAGATAATTAATTAGATGTCTCACCTGTAACAATAATATTACAGCTCTGAGACCCTTCTTTGGCTTACCTATCATCATCCCACAGCCCAAGGAAAAATCAGCCCTGGGGTATGGATTTCAGATTCATAATAGGTCCAGAGATGCTTCTAGGTTAGGATTTTTTTCTGACTAACATGGTTTGTGAGGTGGGCCCTAGGGTAGAAGGAAAATAATGCCCTGAAGCCAGTGATCTTTTCTGTCAGCTTCTAGGTGCTGGGGCCATAATGCCACATGAAGATCACCCTATTCGCTACCACATCCTTTAGAGAAGACTTATCTCTGGGTTAAATTCTCAGGTGGAAGAGTTAGCATGTGACCACCTTGTTATTTTTCACTTAAGCAGGATATTCAGGCATCTGCTCACTGGCCATTTCTGTTAGAGTCTTGAAGGCTTTAACTACTCAATGCTGGCAAAAAACAAAAAACATAACTACTGTCTTAGAAGTGGAAAATAGCTTGAAAAAAACGAGACATCTGATTTCAGCTGCCAGTGGCTCATGTCTGCTAGCTACTCATGAGGCTGAAATCTGAGGATCACAGTTCAAAACTATCTCAGGCAGGAAAGTTTGTGAGACTCTTATCGCCAATTAACCAGCAAAAGGCCAGAAGTGGAGATGTGATTTAAGTGGCAAAGCACCAGCCTGAGCAAAAAAAAAAAAAATTAAAAAAAAAAGCCAGGCAAGGGCAGGAAGCCCTGAATTCAAGCTCCAGTTCCATCTGAAACAACAAAAAGAAACGTGTATATTGTATATTGGAATGATATTTAGAATTGGGTGCAGCTGTTCCCAACTTCATTGGCAATCAAAACCCACCACAACCTCAACTCCTGCCCCAAGATTCTGTTCTAGCAGAGCCTTAGCTCCTGGGTTGATTTATTTTGTTTTTGATGATCCATCAACCTTTTCTGGTTTAGGTCAGTAATTATTTTACAGTTGCTTTTTTCAGTTTAACCTTGGGTTCTCAATAGATTTCCATCCGCTGCTGAGCAGGGAATATGTGTTTTCCCAGCTTCTAGTTCTGGCCTGGATGCTTGCCCTCAGATACAATGAATGCCACTATGAGAGGATTCACGTGTTTCTTCAGGGCTTGCACAGTGTCTCACAGTCAGACACCTCCTTCCCTTACAAACTACCTGCCACTTGTAGTGTGGGATTAAAGGGTGTCACCAGGTGGCTAAGCAGGGGGAATAGACTACTGCACATGCAGTGGAGACTGATGTGGCCATCGAATGTGCAAGAACAATACGTCCTCAGAGCTGTGGGTACCTCACGTAGCAATCCATAGTCCTGCACTGGAGCTGCAGACTCAGGAAGAGGGAGGAGCCAGGACTTGAACTTGACAGTGATAGCTCAGAGGCCATGCACAGTTTTAGAAAGTTACCTTTTCCTAGGCCTCTTAAGGCTGGTGGTGGAGGTGGGTAGGTAGAACTTTGAACCAATTTGAACTGAAGCAGCTCTAGCTTGGTCGTTATTGGGCTTCATTTGTACTAAAGATTCCAGTGCTTTAAAAGGTAAAAGTTAACCAAGTCAAAGCACTTCTAAATTCTAACTTGAAACACCAAGAAGTTCCCAGAGTCACACAGCTATTAGTAGCAAGTTCCACTTCTAGAAATCAGATCTCCTTTTAAGAATACTAAACCTTTCTGAGAGGGAGTAAATAAAATGTGTGGTCTAGGAAGGGTCAGGTTACCTCCCAGCATCTTGCAATAATTGACTGTAAAGATTCTGAGTTAGTAGAGCAAATTGAGGGAGGCTTGCTAATAGAGATGTATATATAATGTCTTAATATTGTCAGACTCATTTTTATGTGTCCTTTACCACCAAAGGATACTTCACCTTTTTTTCTCTTTATAACTTAATGATCTCAAGTATTTTGTTACAGTCATAGAACGATGACTAACAATCGCATGACTGTACTAGGTAACTGATGATTTCTTGTTTGTTACAAATCTCACTTTCACTTTCATGCCTTGGACATAAAACAAGAGTCTGGAATTCAATACCATATTAAGTCAGTCACCACACAGAACTGCCACATTCAATAAAACACATTAACTGGATGATCCTCTTCAGTAAGCAGACTTGTCCAAAGAACAATTTAATTAGACTACAAAGTGAATTGATACTATATTTACATTGTATTATGTTTTTCTTATTAAGATTCATCTTCCTTTTTACTTTAGGTATATTTGGGGAAATTATTACAGAAAGTTTGACTACTTAAATTCAACAAAACAGACCAGATTTTTTTTCATAGACATTTTTGGTAGCTTCATACTGTTAAGAACAAATAGAGACAGAGATAATCTTTAGCCAGACATTTTACCTTTTGGGAAAAAATATTGATACTGATTTACTTTAAAATTTTGAGCAGTATTTTTTTTTTGGGGGGGGGGGAGTCCGGTCATGAGCCTGAACTCTGGGCCTGGGCGCTATCCCTCAGCTCTTCAGCTCAAGGCTAGCACTCTACCACTTGAGCCACAGCGCCACTTCCAGCTTTTTTTTCCTGCTTATGTGGTGCTGAGGAATCCAACCCAGGGCCTCAGGCATGCAGGGCAGGCGCTCTACCACTGAGCCACCTTCCCAGCCCTTGAGCAGTATTTGTGACTGTGCCTGGGACTCATCTCTTTGGAGAGTTTTGATACTTTCACCACTTTCTTTTCACTCAAATAACTTACTCTGTTTACCTTAAAAACATTATCAGTCTTAAGTCATCATTGGTGATCTTCAAAAATGTAGTAGCTACATTTCATTTCAGATGTCTATTTAGTTGATTTGTATTTTTTTTTTCTGCTGGTCCTGGTGCTTGAACTCAGAACCTTTAAGCCATTCCTGAGTGTTTTTGCTGAAGGCTAGTACCCTACCACTCAGGCCACAGCTACTTGATTGGAGGTATCACAGACTTTCCTGACCCAACTTGCTTCAAACTGCAATCCTTAGATCTCAGCTTCTCCTGAGTATCTAGGATAACAGTCATGAGCCATGAGTAGGGATCATTTTTTGTTTTGTTTTTTAAATTCTTTGCCTACACTATACTTGAACAATTTTTCCCTGATGTGCCCGGGAGCTTCCTGTCTGCTATTTCCTGTGGAGATGTTGCTGTTCTTTCTTTCCTTTTATCCAGCTTACCCGAATAGAGCTGAAAATACAGAGTAGATCATGCTCCCCTCCATACCATAGACATGCATGACCTGTGATTCTAAGAGCTCATGGTCTTCCTAGTGGTTTGAGATCAAGAATGATTTGTAACTGACTCAATCCCACATATGACTCTTTTGGAGTCCTAAAGCCATTTGTGATCGATCTTCACATGTGCATTTCTCATTTATAGAGTATACAAACTGCTTTTTTCTCTGGCTTCTTTTTCTGTTGTTACACTATTTATTGTGTGGTGACAAGGTAGCAGGATTTATGATTGCTGGTAACTATCAGAGTATTACTTCTTTCTTTTTTTTTTCCAGTATTCTTGTTTAGTTAAAAAAATAAAAAAAAGAGGGCCGGGCACCAGTGGCTCATGCCTTTAATCCTAGCTACTCAGGAGGCTGAGATCTGAGGATCGTGGTTCAAAGCCAACCCAGGCAGGAAAGTCTGTGAGACTTTATCTCCAATTAAGCACCAAAAAAAGCTAGAAGTAGAGCTGTGGATCAAGTGATAGAGTGCTAGCCTTGAGCTGAAGAGCTGAGGGGCAGTGCCCAGGCCCAGAGTTCAAGCCCCACAACCAACCAAAAAAAAAAAAAGAGGTCAAAATAAATGACATATTTCTATATAAGACTTTTATTCTTATGTAGGTCCAGTCCCTGCTATCAATGGGGCCCTGAAGAAAGCTGGCCTGAGTCTTAAGGACATGGATTTGATAGAGGTTAGTGTTTTCTTTTTATAACACAAATAAGCCACATACTTGGATAGCATAAATGGTATTAGTGGTATTTTATAGTTCTCCTTGAATTAGTACTGTTAATGTTTCCAATGATGTACATATACATGATACTTAAATCCACCCAATTAAAATGCTTTACTTATATTTTAGTAAGTCAAACATCATGGTTTCTCCTACTGAAATATGAATTCCTGGAATCTTCTCTGGACTTTTCAGAACTCTGTTCAATTTTAGACAATTAGTATACATGTCAAAATTGATTATTATAAAAAATGGGAGCCAAATAGGTACGTCTAGCCCTATTTAAAAGATTAAAATGAAAAATACAAGGTAAAAGAATTGGCCTAATAGGAAAAGCAATATCTAGTGCCAAATCCCCCAATTGGGAGCCTGCAGACTTTGTCTTTGCCACCAGAGTTTCAGACAAATACATGGTTTATCCTTAAATCTCTTCTTCCATTCTTTGAAGATTACAATTCAGAGCCTCAAGGGCCCTGCTCAGCTCTCATATTTGAGTCTGACTTCACATTTAACTATGGAAATACAGCAACTCTGAAAAGTGACTCATCATCATTTATAGATGTATGGAGCTCACAGCACTGTTTGCCTGGGTTCAGAAGCCTGCTTTGACCACACATTCTACATATCTTTGTGTCTCTGTGAAAATGACTGAATCGACAAAAGAATACTATTGGATCTAAAGGCAAATAAGATACCATTGTGGGAGAACACAAAAATATAATAGGAAAGAAAACAATGAAATGTGCTCTCCCAACTCCATGAAAGTTAATCTTCCTTAAGACCAATTTTTTAATAAAATTCTGTAATTGATTTGTAAAGTAATAGCAAATGAAACAAGGCAGTTCTCATAGCCAGCCTGGTAAGTGTAAGTCAACAATATACTTTTCACTTCTGCCATATTTTGCCATGGTAACCATCATAAGCCTCAAATTATCTTTATTGTCCCTTAGTTTTATTTTGGAAGGATGTCTCAGTACTGGGTAATAATAATAATAGCCAGCACTTAATGAATACTTGCTATGTGTCAGATGATACACTAGATACTATCCAGGATCTTAACCTTGAAAATGACTCTTGTATGATAGTACAGTTGAATTTTGCTGTTGAGGAAATACAATTATAAAGCAGAGTTTAGAAGAACATGCACAGGGACACACACTAATAAATGAGAAAGCTATCCAACTAGCTTTCTTGCTCATGGCTGATGTTCTACCACTAAGCCACACCTTCAGTCTTGAATCTTTTTGGCTAAGTAGAAATAGGCTTTAAACCACCATGCCCCAGGTCTCAGAATCCTGAGAGAATAGTTTAGGATTGCAGGCATGAGTCCTAGCTCCCTTTTTTTTTTTTTTTTTTAAAGAAGCAAGTCTCACTCTATAGCTCAGACAGTCCTCAAACTTGAGGTCTTCCTATCTCAACCTCTCATGTACTGGGATTATAGGCAAGTACCCAACTGTCTACTCATTTTTAAACCTAACATCTTTTGTAAAGGAAGATACTTCTAGATAACTTTGAACATAGTTATTTTGACTAATTAATGAAAGCCATCTTCTCTCTTGTTTGTCTCTCTGTCTCTGTTCTATCTCTGTTTCTCTGTCTCCCTCTCTCTCTTTGTCTCTGTCTCTCTCTCTCTCTTTTCCTGAAATCATAGTATCTTTACATGGAATGACTGAAGATAAGTTCAAATAACATTGTGAGGAAACTTAGAGAAAAATAGAATTAGCCCTTGATATAGAACTAGGCCTAGGTTAAGAATCAGTTTGTGAATAAGGATTCTTATTAATGTCCTTTTCTTTCCTAAGGTGAATGAAGCTTTTGCTCCCCAGTACTTGGCTGTTCAGAAGAGCCTGGACCTTGACCCAAGCAAAAGCAACGTGAATGGCGGAGCCATTGCCTTGGGTCACCCATTGGGAGGATCAGGATCAAGAATCACTGCACATCTGGTCCACGAATTAAGGTACTTGCTGGAAGTGGCTGAATTTCAGCTGTGCTGTTCTGAATCCAAAACACAGGAAAATTTATTTCTCTCTTGTCTGTGTCCTGGCACTGGTTTAGACCAGAAGTATCTTATATAGGTTAGTGCTGTGATCTGGCCTTCCAGATGGCTCTGCTGTGGGATTCTAGCATTTCCTTTGATCTACTCTGTGTGCTCTGCAGGGAGCCCATCCCTGGCACTGGTGACCGGCAATGAGCAGATACTAAGGCTCAGGTCCCCAGGGCCTTGGTTCTCGTGGCACTTGGTCTGAGTGCCTGAACGATAAATACATTTATGAAAAAAAATACTGAGTAAGTTCTTCATGATCTAGATGCCATCATTTAAGGAACCTAACTAAGCAAACTGACAGTTAGAGCTAAACTTTTCCTTCATGGTTTCCAAGGCTCCAGGTGTTTGTATTTTACAGCTTTGATATAAGAGCGGCTCCATGTGACTCTATTTTGAGCCCTTTTGTTCTGTTGGAAAATTTGAAGTAAGCCAAATATGTAATGGTGACAAAAAAAAAAAATCACTCCAACTCCATGTTTGACCCAAATAAAGGGACTCATTGCACATAGTCATTGAGTTGAACTAGAGCATGGACATGTATAATAATAATTACTGGATCAGGAAACTGAGATCTGAGATCATGATTCGAAGCCAGCCTGGGAAGAAAACCCCATGAAACCCTAATCTTCAATTAATGACCAAATGCTGGAAGTAGATCTGAGACTGAAGTGGCACCAGCCTTAAATGCAAAAGCTAGGGGCACCACCCAGGCCCTGAGTTCAAGCTCAAGTACCAGAACAAACAAATCTTGGATAACTTTTTCAGGTCACTATCTCAGGACTAAGGGATAAAAACAGACTATAGTAAAGGACATGAACTCTTTCTAATATATCTGCTTTTTTTTTCTGGACCTGGGGCTTGAACTCAGGGTCTGGACACTGTCCCTGAGCCTCTTTGTGTACCACTTGAGCCACGGCACCACTTCTGGCTTTTTTTTTAATAGTTTATTGGAGATAAGAGTCTCTGCCTGGAAGCAGCTGTGAACCGTGATCCTCAGATCTCAGCCTCCTAAGTAACTAGAATTATAGGCTTGAGCCACCAGTGCCCAGCTTTATATCTGCTCTTTTATATGGACCAACTGTACTAACACTATTTATTCTAAAGTGCCATGAGAAGAGTCCAAACTGTCCAAGTCAAAGGCGCTCTTCCTGTGTCCCTCCTGAGCAACCCCTGTTTATCTGATTTAGCTCCTGTTCTCACTCCTCCCCACGACACACTTGAGTGTATATTTGTTTTGGTTCATCTAGCCCTGAATCTGTTCTTCCTCTCCTTTACTTTTTCATTGTTTGTTTGTCTGTTGTACTGGGACTTGAACTCAGGTCCTCACACTTTTGCTCAGCTCTTTAGCCAACAGCTGATGCTCTATCACTTGACCCACATCTCCCTGTCGTGGTTTTGCTGGATATTGGAGATTACAGTCTCGTGGACTTCTGGACTTCGAAATTCTCAGAACTCAGCCTCCTACATAGCTAGGATTATAGGCTGACTTCACTGCTACTTTTGAATAAGAAAATTCAGTTTACAGAATTCTAAAACCTATTGTGAGTGTAAGCCGACATGAAGGATTTGAGAAAAAAAACTGAGGAAATGAACTAAGGTGCTTAATGCAGTCTGTGCTTGGTGACTCACACCTATAATCCTGGCTATTCAGGAGGTTGAGATCTGAGGATCAAGGTTCAAAGCCAGACCAGGAGACTTATTTTCAATTTACCAGCAAAATGCCAGAAATGTGGGTATGACTTGAATGGCAGAGTACCATCATTGAAAGAAAAAGCTAATCAAGTGCAAAAGCCCCAGTACTGATACACACAAAGAAAATTTTTTGTAAAAAAGGAATGGCTAGCTGGGTGCCAGTGGCTCATGCCTATAATCCTACCTACTCAGGAGGCTGAGGTCTGAGGACTGCAGTTTGAGGCCAGCCTGGGCAAGAAAGTCTGTGAGACTCTTATCTCCAATTAATCACAGAAAAAGCTGGAAGTGGAGCTGTGGTTCAAGTGGTAGAGCACTGCCCTTGAGCAAAAGAAGAACCCTGGGACAATGCCCAGGCCCAGAGTTCTAACTCTAGGACAAAGAAAGAAAAAGAAGGAAAGAAAGAAGAAAGAGAGAAAGAGAAAGAAAGGAAGGCAGGCAGGCAGGCTAACAGTGCAGCTGTGACATATGAATTTCATTTAATTAATTAATTGAGTTACTCTTCACTGAGGTTGGTCTGAGCCATTGCTTGCTCTCCTAGGCGCCGCGGCGGGAAGTATGCAGTGGGATCAGCCTGCATTGGAGGCGGTCAGGGCATCGCCCTCATCATTCAGAACACAGCCTGATGAGCCCTGGGAGCCCAGCGCCCGCCTCCTAGCCAGCCAGGCCACAGGACAGCAGGTGGCCTGCAGAGCAGCTGCCACTCTGCCACACCCAGCCGCTGAATGAGGCCCGAGTGCAAGACCTTGCGGGAGCTCCTGCTGTAGGCAGTAGGCGCTCCTGAATCTGCCCAGTCTAATACGACATGATCCTGAACTAAAGCTCAACAGTCCAAGGCCTTAAAGGAAGCCCGTCCTTGCCAAATAACTACTGTGCACACCTTAGATAATAGGATTATGAGGATACTGAATAAATGTTGCCTTAACTTTAGCCAATCTTTTCCTGTCATTTTTTAAATTTTGTAATTGTCGTGTGTGAAATTTAGTATTTTACCATTTTAAGTGTACAGTTTAGCAGCATTAAGGACATCCACATTCCGGGTACCCATCTCTATATCTCTTTTGTCTTGAAGAACTGAAACTGTCTACCAGTGAAGCTACCCTTCCTCCTCCTAGCCCCTATCTCTGTATTTCACCCCTCTAAGTACTTGTAAGAAGTGAAATTCAGCCAGGCCCTGGTGGCTTATGCCTGTAATCCTAGCTACTCCAAAGGCTGAGATCCGAGGATCACAGTTCAAAGCCAGCCCAGACAAGAAAGTCCACAAAACTCTTATCTCCAATAAACCACCAGAAAACCAGAAGTGATGCTGTGGCTCAAGTGGTAGAGTGCTTGCCTTGAGACACCCAGGTGCTAAACATCTCCCAACACACAGCTGTTACCTAGCCCAGAATTCGCACTGTGTACCCACCCATCCCCTCGCCTCTCACCTTCCCCTTTCGTGTGTTGATCTACGTAAGCTTTTTTGTTTGATTTGTGCCTGTACTAGGACTTGACCTCAGGGCCTTACATTTTTGCTTAGCTTTTTCTGCTTAAGTCTGGCTCTCTACCACTTGGGTCATACATCCACTTCTAGCTTTTAGCTAGTTAACTGGGGGTATGCGTCTCATCAGATCTCAGTCTCTTAAATAGCTAGAATTATAGGTGAGCGACCAGTGCTTGACTAACAGAAGTTTTTAATTAGAAAAACAGTCAGCTTTCTGACTTCTTTCTCCTGTTGTAGGCTTGGGAGAAATTAGATAGGCAAAGTAAATGGACTAGTAATACAAATATGACATCGTTCTTTCTTAGAGGCATAAAGTCTTTTGTGGACACAGGAGCTCCATGGAGAAGCCTTTATCCCATGCATAGAGCTTCTCCAGTCTGGAGTTTGCTGGCAGCGTTGCTTTGTTAATTCTGATTGTAGACACAGGCTCCCCCTGTTTATAGACCTAAAGACTGGCTATTGAACCACCTGCTCCTCACCTTCTATTCTTCCACTAGCTTCCTGATGTGTCCTTTTGTCGACTGCTCTTTCTCCTTTTCTTAGGTCATGTCTTCATTCTCAGAAACAGTTGCCACCAGTTGGCCAAAGGAGCTTGTCAGCTCCATGGCCAAAACACAGGTTGCTTTTCATCACGCATTTCAGATTTCTACTCACTTGTCAAGTCTTCAACATGGGCGACTCATTACCACCTCCCTCCACTGCCGCCCTTGGCTTCTACTCACAGGCCATACTCCCCCTTCCTGATTTACAGTTCATGCTTATTCCTTTATGCCCCCACCCCCACCCTTGAGCACAGCCACAATTTCCATCCATCATCTTCCCAAAGACTGGAGATCTGCTAGGAACACTACTGACTCTTCTATTTAACCTCACAAAAGAGCCATTCAAAATTTTTATTGAGATTAAATTGAATTTACAGGTTATGAAGGTGTTAGAAGAAAACTAACATCTTCACATTTAATCTATATTGATATATAGTCTATCTTGAAATTTATTCATGTTCTTTTATCCTTTTAGGATTTTTATTTACTTTTTCTTATTTAAAAAAAAAAAAGATCTTTGGGGATTATTGAACTATGTGAGACCCGTGCCCTACCATTGAGCTATAGTACCAGCCCTCATTTTTGAGGCAAGGTTTCACCATGTAGCCTGGGTTGGCCTTGAATTCGGGGTCCTTCTTGCCTCTGCCTCCTGAGTGCTGAGTCACTGGTGTGCACCACTTGATCCAACTTAGGAAGATGTATCCTTTTTTTTCTTTTGGTGGTCTAGGTCCTAAGTTCAAACCTTGTTTTTTCTTTTGGTGGTATTGTTTGAACTTAGGACCTCATGCTTGCTAGGCAAGCACCATACCACTTGAACCATATCTGCACCCTTAGGAGTTTATAGAAGCTCTGAACAAATGCAGCAGTGGTACTCACTGGACACTGTGTTGAAGATGAACTATACAACTGGTGGGTAGGGATGGGAAGGAAGGGGAAGACCTGGCCCATCAAGAAATGTACTCTTCACCTGACATCACCTTTAGCAAAATAAAAAAAAAGAGGCTTCCAGCAAGGGTGGGGACCACAGGGAAGTGAGTGGAGATGCACTCATGAGGCGGTGATTGAACCGGAGTCAGCATCGGTGTCTACCATGGCAATGGTGGGTTGCTGGAATCAGAAGCCCTTCTGTGTGGAGGAGGCAGGGGCTGGTAGGTACCCTGAGGTATGTATGGTGCAGGGACTGCAGGGTCTCTGACTGATCTCCAAGTCCTGGAGCAGCTCAGTTCAAACTGGTTCAATCCAGTTCAAACTGGTCTGTTTTAATCCGGTTCTATCCGGTTTAACCAGGCACGAACCGGTTTAATCCTTTGATCCGGTTTAATAAGGGTTCTAACCGGTTTCATCTGTTTCAATCCCGTTTTGTTTCAATCCAGTTTGATCCGGCTCGTTCCGGCTCAATGCAGTTCTGGATCCGTTTCTACGGGATTTTATTTTACTGTTGGTCGTGGGGGCTGACCTCTGGGCCTGGGCTGTCCCTCAGCTCAAGGCCAGCGCCCTACCACTTGAGCCACTTCTGGCTGGCTTTGTTTTGCTTATGTGGTGCCCTACCACTTGAGCCACTTCTGGCTGGCTTTGTTTTGCTTATGTGGTGCTAAGGAATCGAACCCGGAGCCTCAAATATGCAAGGCAAGCACTCTACCACTGAGCCAACTTACCACTCTCGATATGACTTGTTTTAATGCCAGTTATGGATGGTGCATCGAAGTCTGCTTGGACCTGCAGTGAGCAGGACATGTCACCCCCTAGGTGGCGCTCCAGGCTAGCGCATCTCAGAGATAAAGCTGTTAAGATGGCCTCTCTGGGCTCCGCTCACGTCCCAGAGCCAGCAGTAAAGAGACCCAGGGTGGCAAATAGGATACCTGGCCCACTTCCTGGCCAGTGCCCCAATGCCCCCTAGCCAAGGCCACTTCCCCTTGTTTCTCCTCAGTGAAAATGCAGCAGGGACAAACCTCCCCTCCCCAAGCCAGGAAATCTAGTGGCCAAGGTGGTGAACACCAAAACAAGCAAGGCCAGTCCCCACCCATCATCACCACCAGCTGAGAACCCAGGGCAAGATGGCTGGTGGGTACCATCCATGGCAGCGGAGAGGATGGAACAGCAGTCATGGCTCCCCGACCCCTTCCACCTTCATAGAGTTTGGCAGCTGCTCCCCTTTGCTCTGGCCCTGACAGCTGCCTCCGCCCCCCCCCACCCCCCCTCCAGCCAGTGGAGCCACCCTCCCCAACTCAGTCTTTGGGCAACACCTGACTAGGAGCCATAGCTAGTGAGGTCTGAGGCAGGTGGGAGCATCTAGGACTCACAGAGCAAAGCCAGGTCAGGGGGCATGGGTCCTACACCCCAGCCTGCCATCCCCCCAGTGAACCACCGCCAGGGACAGGAACCCACTGTCACCCTCGAGCCTGTGGTCTGAGCACCTCCGTGGAGGATCAGCATGTCCTGACTGGGAGAGTTCCTAGGAACCCAGCTGGGAGCCAGACAAGTCCCCACCTGTCCATCCCCACAATGCCTCCTCACCTTGCAAGGCCTTCGTGTTCCATTGTCAAGAAAGAGAAGGCCTGAGACTGGATCCTCCAAGGCCTAGACTCTGTACCACACCAAACACACATTCCAGATGCCAGAAAATGCTGCAGAAATACAAGGCACTGGTAAAACCTGGACTGGTACTTTGAGCATGTAATTCATACCTTAAGAGCCTTTGAGTAATGCAAGTTAAAAATCAATGCCGAACAAACTGTGCTGGCTGCCACCATCATTCTCCGACTGTATTTCCACACTGCAAGGATAAAAATAGACTTCCTCAGGAGCCACGTCCCACAGGGCACACAAAATAGAACTCACCTCTGACACCCGCCTGAGACCAGTCTTACTTGGTCGTACCATGTGCTGCTATGGGGGTCAGGCCTTCTCACTGCTGTTCTCACTGCTCTGGGGAAGTGGAGTACATATCTCCCCTCCCCCAACCAAAGGTGATGGTGGGGTGAGACAAGGCCACCTGACAAAGGACCTCCTTGATAAGTCTAATAACTCAGCTTTAGAATCAATAGAAATCCCCTTTGCCTAAGTGCAAAGCAATTGCTCTCATCAAACAATAGTAAAGGAAACAAACAAATATCCTAAAGATTAGTGAAAAGAGGGGCTGGGAAAGTGGCTCAGTGGTAGAGTGCTTGCCTTGCATGCATGAGGCCCTGGGTTGGATTCCTCAGCACCACATAAGCAAAAAGAAAAAAGCTGGAAATGGCACTGTGGCTCAAGTGGTAGAGCGCTAGCCTTGAGCTGAAGAGCTGAGGGACAGAGTTCAGGCCCCACGACTGGACCACCCCCCCCAAAAAAAAAGATTAGTGAAAAGAGGGGAGAATGTGTTTTAGTTGTAGTACACTGCGTTAAAGTGCTTTGTTTTGTAGTCTACTATGTTAAAACACTGACAACTACCAGGCTTGTGTACATAGACATGTTTGTTAAGAAGGCAAATCTCATGAAAATACCCTGGGAAATGATGGGTATAGTAAGATAAATATATTTATTACCTTGATTAAGATGGTGCTTCAGGGGTGTTGGCCTATGTTCTGTCTCCTTGAATTGCACACATTAATTATTTGCAGTCGATTTCTATTAATTACACTTCAGCAGAGCTGTTCAGAGAATTCCAAGGGATCCCTGGATGCTAAGCAGGAGTGATTGCAGCCTTCCTTGGAAGAGCCTGGCTTCAGTTAAGTGAGATGCTACTCAGCGTGAGGCTTTAGAGTCACAGAATTGATGCACAGGTGGCCCTTCATTGTGTGACTCGGCAGGAGAAGATGCAGTGAGCTAAGCAGGGCTGCAGTTTGGCCACTTGGGAGGCTGAGCAGGAGGATGGCTTGAGTCCAGGAGTTTGAGGCCAGCCTGGGCAGCACAGTGGGACTCTATGT